CCCCGCCCCTCCGCCGCCCCTCCCCCCGCCGCCCGGAGGACTCCTGCGACCCGCCCCCCGGGCCCGAGGGGGCGGCCGCGGAGCCCGAGGGGCAGCAGCCCTCCTCGGTCAAGTCCTGCTCGCAGGCCCGGGAGGGGGGGCGCCCGCGCCGCTCCCGCGCGAGTGCCTCGACCAGCCGTCAGGGCCGACCCCTCGACGGGGTGACCTCGGGCGCGGGCCCCCTCGATCGCCGAGCGCGATGCGGTCGTGGCGTCTTGCCCGCTCGCGTGCGGGTCCCGGTTTGGCCCCGCCGCGGCCCCCGGGAAGCTGCGCACCAAAGGCCGTTCTTGCCCAGGGTCACTCTTGCGTGTAGCCGAGTGGTGGTCGTCGGCCTCTGTCGTCGTCTTCGTTGTCGTCGTCGTCGTCGTCGTCGTCGTCGTCGTCGTCGTCGTCGTCACCGTCGTCGTCGACGTCGGTCAAAAGGGTTCGACACGTCAGTTCGGATTCCCCCTCCAGGGGCCCTCTTGGAAGCCTATGGAATCCTCTTGGCAGGTCTATTGGGTCGTCCTGAGGTCCGGTTCGGCTGTGCAGGGGCCGTGCAGAAAGCCTCTTGGGCTGACATGGGGCTCCGAGTTGATGGCGTCCGAGGATCGCGCCGCATCGCCGATGCATCAACGATGCGGCTCGATGTGGAGCCTGTGTTTCCCCACTCCGGCGTCGCCGATGCATCGCCGATACATCGGCGATGAATTGTCGATGAGGCGCGATCCTTCAGACCCATCTACTCGGACCTCATCTAGGAGGCCTCTAATCGTAGGAATCGCTTGGGTCTCCTGGGCCCTCTTTAGCGGTCGGAAGAGGGACAAGGCAGAAACGGCAAAATCTTTCAAGCATCAACTGCAAGATGAATGAATTGTGGCCTCCAGGGCCGCTCTTGGAGCTGTCTTGGGTAATCTTGGAGGTATAGATTGAAGCCTCTTGGGGCCATCTTGGGGCCTGCTTCCCATGGATCTCGACTGGAGTGCCCTCTTGAAGCTCCGTTACGTTCCCTCGGGGCGCTCCTGGAACGCTCTTCGGGGCCTGGAAGACCTCCCCGGGGAGTTCCGGCCCCTTGGAGGGACATTGCCGGGACCTTGCCAGGGTACTTCTCGACCGGGGAGCTCCAGGGGCGGCCCCGCGTGCGTGAACTAGAAGTGCTCTAAACCTGTTGCCGGAGATCTTAGCACGCCTCTGGCCCGCTGGGCCGGCGTATTTCTCTTGCTCCCCATGTTCCCTCACCTCCGATTCCTCCGAGGGAGGGAGGGGAGAGAGGAGGAGAGGCGTCGGCTGATTTCTCCTACGATTACCTCGATTACCTGGTCCATACCTTGCCCTCGGGGGTCAATCGTGAGCCTGATGGTTAGCTATTGTCCAGCAGACGGAGAAATAGATGGAGGGGGAGGAGGATAAGGAGCTGGCCGCCATTCCACTATCCGAGGAGAGCTTGGGACAAAATGATAGAGGGGTGGCAGGCGCATGATGTGTAGAAGCGGGGTTTAGCTCAAGCGGGCGGGTCAGAAGGGGCTCTCGGTTCTCTTGGCTCTAGCAGGTCCCCGTTCACTCTGTGACGCCTTCTCTGAGAGGGGGGGCGTCCTCACGCTTTGGAAGAGGATCCTCCTCCTTGGTATTACAGTCAACCATGATAGTAAGGATGGGGCAACTTTCCAAGGCTACTCTCGCATCCTTGCCCCTTCGGTACTCGGCATCCTTCGGCATCCTGCCGCGCCCCGCACGGAAAACGTCAACATGGCGCTCCAAGGCCCTTGCACCCTTACCGCGCACCCTTCCTGTCCTGGTCGAGTGTATCACCATCTGCCTCCCCGTGCCCCCTCCGCCCCTTCCGTCGCTTCCCACTCACGGGTGAGCGAGACGGGCGGGGGAGGGAGGAGGAGGAGGAGGAGGAGGAGGAGGAGGAACAGGAGAAGAGGAGGAGGAGGAGGGGGAGGAGGAGGAAGAGGAGGAGGAGGAGAGGGAGGAGGAAGGAGGAGGATGAGGAGGAGGAGGAGGAGAGAGGAGGAGGGGGAGGAGGAGGGGAGGAGGAGGAGGAGGAGGGGGAGGAGGAGAGGAGGAGGGGAGGAGGCGGAGGAGGAGCAGGATGAGGAGGGGGAGGAGGAAGGGGGCAGAGAGGAGGGGAAGGAGGATGGGAGGAGGAGGAGTGAGGGTCTGAGGATGGGAGGAGGAGAAAGAGGCGGAGGGACGGCACCGCCCCACTCGTGGATGCATGCCGGCCAGTCCTGAGGAGGAGAGAGGAGGAGGAGGAAGGAGGAATAGGAGGAGGAGGAGGAGGAGGTACGAGGACGAGGACGAGGACGAAAGGAGGAGGAGGAGGAGGGGAAGAGGAGGTACGCACATAGCGTGAGCATGTACACACACTGTACACACATGTGTTATATATATATATATATATATATATATACACAAACGCGATCATCTTCCCGTGTGGCAGTCTGCTGCTCACCGAGGTCGCTCCGACAGCACAGCAAGCACAGCGACAGGTGGACCCTCCCCCCCTCCTCCAGGTGTCACGGTTCCCCACGCTTCAGAGCGGGGCAACACCGAGACGGGAACCGGTTCTTGTCCTTCCTCCTTGTCCTCTTTGGGCACGCTCGACCTCCTCCTCCTCCTCCTCCTCATCCTCCTCCTAGCCCTCATTCATATGCTTCGCTCTTCCTCTCCTCCCCCTCCTAATCCTCGGGCGGGAGCAGCAGGGGCTTCGCGCAACTCGCTCGCACCCGCAAGAGCCATGATGGCTCGAGCCGATCGCCGGCTGGCCGATGTGGGGCAGTCCTGTCCTCAGATTGCCACGGTCAATGCGCCAGGGCCTGAGCTTGGATCGCGGACCGCTCATCTACATATCGATCGTCCGGATTGGGCCCAGGAAGGAGAGGAGGATTCTCCTGCTCCGCATGCTGCTGCTCCTCCTCGTCATCTTGCACCTCCTCCTGCTGCACGCCATGTTGTGATGTGTGGTCGAAGGCGACGCCCCAGAGGAGCACGAGGTGCCAAGAGGTCGTACAAGGCCCTCTGGGGTCTGCCGAGGTTCTCAGCACGAGGGAGAGAATCGAAGCACATAAAACCTCACAGGCAAAAACTTTGGCAGGTCCGCGCGGATCTCTTGGATCGACGGTGGACCCCTCTCCCTGGCGCGCGGAGTGCGCCAGGGGGCCTAGGGGCCTAGTGCGGCACTAGGCCCCTGCCGTTTCCGGGGCCCACAAAGCTAGTGCCAATCCGAGAAATTGTTGACGCCTCGCGTACCCCCACCAACCCGTAACCCCTCGGGCTCAAGCCTTGGCTCAAGCCACTGGCTCATGCCACTTGCTCGGGCACGCCCCGGGTCCAGGTACGCGCCGCGCCCGGCCTGCCGCGTTGGCCTAGGCGCTGGCGTCGCCCTGCTGCTGCTGCTGCTGCCCGCGGCGGGCCGCCTGGCCTCGGCCCGCCCCCGGCTGCTGCCGCCGCTGCTGCCGCCTCCCCGCGCGGCGGCGGGCGGCGGTGGCGCCCCGGAGCTGGCTGCCGCCCGCGGCGGCCCGCCTGGCCTGGGGAGGCTGGCCTGCGCGCGGCGGCGGGCGGACCGTGCTGCCGCGGGCTGGGCCCGCCCCCGGCTGCTGCTGCTGCCGCCGCCGCTGCCGCCTCCCCCCGAGGCGGCGTGCGCGCGAGCGCGTCGGCGGCGGCGGTGGCGCTGCGGCCTTTGCTGCGACGCCGCCCGCGGCGGCCGCCTCTTGGGCCCCGCTCACCGGCTGCTGCTGCTGCCGCCGCCGCCGCCGCCGCTGCCGCCTCCCCCCTGGAGGCTGCGTGGCGCGGCGGCGGCGGACCGGGCTGCCGCGGGCTCGGTCCCGCCCCCGGCTGCTGCTGCTGCCGGCCGCCGCTGCCGCCTCCCCCCGGAGGCGGGCGTGCGCGCGCGGCGGCGGGCGGCGGTGGCGCTGCGGCCTTGGCTGCCGCCGCCCGCGGCGGCCCGCCTGGCTTGGGCCCGCTCCCAGCTGCTGCTGCTGCTGCTGCCGCCGCCGCCGCCGCCGCCGCCGCCGCCGCCGCCGCCGCCGCCTCCCCCCTGGAGGCTGTCGTGCGCGCGGCGGCCGGCGGACCGTGCTGCCGCGGGCTGGGCCCGCCCCCGGCTGCTGCTGCTGCCGCCGCCGCTGCCGCCTCGCCCCGGAGGCTAGAGTGCGCGCGGCGGCGGGCGGCGGTGGCGCCGCGGACCTGGCTGCCGCCGCCCCCGGCGGCCCGCCTGGCCTGGGCTCGCTGGGTCTTCTCCTTCACCTGGCAGCTCCCTTTATCTCCTTGGTCGCATCTACACCATCCTTCTGGTTGGTTGCCCTCTGGGCCCCGCCTCGTCTGTCGTCTCCTCGGCCGTCGTGTCCACCGCCCGCTCCACGCCGCTGCGGCCGTCCGCAGCACTGGCGTGGATCTGACTGCGGCCCCCCTCCTTTCCCTGCGGGTTGGGCTCGACGATCCTTTTGGCCACTTCACCTGGTTCGCGGTCGTCTGCGGCATTCGGCTACTCTCCAGTTTGCCGCCCCCGCGCAGAGCTTCAGTCTGTCTCAGGCGAAGTTAACCAGTTCCATTTTTCTGCGGCTGTTAGCTGCACCCTACCAGAGCACCGGGACGTCTCTTGCGTAGCAAACGCGAAACAATCCCCTACCACACTGCGGCTATCAGCTGCACTCCGTGCTCGGCCCGTACCCCCCGGGCTGCGCGTCTCAGGCGAAGCTATATTCCCCTTCCTGCGGCTGTTAGCTGCGCCCTACCAGAGGACCTATATGTCTCAGGCGTTGCTATCATCCAACGTTCTGCGGCTGTTAGCTGCGCTCCGGTTCAGGTTGCCCCAGGTGGCCCGTCGCCCTTCACTCTGTTGCTGCTAACTTCACCCCCCTGGTCGTCCGTCCCTCTCAGGCGTACCACGTCTCAGGCGAAGATAACCATTTCCCACCTTCCTGCGGTTTGTAGCTGCACCCTACCAGAAAACTAGGCTGTCTCAGGCGAAGCAATAGCGGTGCCTTCCCCCATCTCACTGCAGCTGTCTGCTGCGCTCCTGGCTAGTTTCGGGGTGTCTCAGGTGTAATAGTTTTCCCTCGCTCTGCGGCTGTTAGCTGCTCCCTTGCTTGGCGGTGACATTGTCTCAGGCGGGTTCACCTCCCCGCATTCTGCGGCTGTTACCTGCCCCCCCCCCCCCCTCATCTTGGCAGGCGCGGCCGTTCCCCCCAGGTTGCATGTCTCAGGCGAAGCCATTTCTCACCTTCTAGCGGCCGTTAGCTTCACCCTACCAGAGTACTATCTCAGTCGTGTTAGCTGCTCCCTACCAGAA